GACCCACACTTTGAGAAACGCTGGTCTAGATGGATTCCATGCAAGATATATAGAATGACTTTTATTAAAGGAACCATGACGTTATTAAGTGTCGTGGGACTATGGGAGGGCAGCGACCTTGACATAGCGATAAARTTATGTGTGCTAATTTATTTTACGAGTATTATACCTATATTCATTTTTAAAAAAAAATCGTGAAGTTTATTGACAATTYAATGTTGGATTTTGTTTGCAATAAAATAAAACTCATAATATAAGATTTATACATTCAGTATTAAAAATAACTATATTTGATATACTTACTATAATTTTTTTAAGTACCTAAATGCTAAAAACACTACACTAAATTTAAAAGTCTCTTTATCCTTTTGGGCTTTCGCTTTCTCCACAAAGGCATGCCGTAACTCTTAAATCGAAATAATCGTTAATAATTTGCACTCGTTTGTATTGAAAATATTCATTGTTTTCTCATAAAACTAAAAATTTTAAAAGTAATTATAATATATATGTTTTTGAACTTAGACGTTTGATCCACAAATTTTAAAACTGTTATTTGGTCCTTAAGTAAAAAATTTTAAAACTCCTGGTATATGTAATAAAAAATATTACCTAAGTAAATATATTTACTAAATTATGGAGTTTATGTTTGATAATGATTTTGTTGTAAATTGTTGTTTAGGTATAATTTTGATCTTTTGTCTAATGCAATTAAAAGAAGTAACATGATGTACGGTGAATTGAACATAAAAGAAAATCGGGTAATTTATGTTCACGGGTCWGTTGATCCATGGCATGCATTAGGCATTACTCACACAAATACCAAAAACAACGTTGCAATTTATATTGAAGGTAATTTTTGAAACAATAAACAATAAACATAAATATTTAATTAAATTTATTTTTCATATATCTATATATGTGGCTAATTATAAAAATAACATATTGTTCTAGTATTTAATTGATTTTCATTTTTTCCTTTATAGGAACAGCTCATTGTGCAAATATGTATCCTCCATCTCCTACAGATCTTCCTCAGCTTAAAAATGCTCGTGAGACAATTAGAGCATTTTTGAGTGAATGGTTGACAGAAAACGATTTTGATAACTCATCTGAAGTCGACAATATACAATTTAAGTACAAAGTATAAAATTCATTATTTTTGCTTTTTTCAAAATCAAATTTTTATAAGATAACTTTAATATTATATTATCATGAGAATTTATTGATGTACTTTTTTGTATGAATATTATAATTTGTTTTAATAACTGCAGATCATATCTATATCATACAATTATATTAATGTATACATTAAGTACGTTTTTATGTACCTACATAATGTTTATTAATTATGATAAGCATTTTTTTACCAGATGAAATTTAATTATTGAATTAAGTAGGTATATGTACATTTTTAATTGTTTATATTAGATTCTGGTCTGACTGATCTGAGTTATAATTTATGTAGGTATTGGTTCTAAAATTATGTGTTTGTATTTTTGTGTGTGTCTAACGCCACGTATGGAACTGTAAAAAAGTTTAAATTTTAAATTTTAATAATGTTTTATGAGTCTAAAAAAAAGTTCCCTGTGTTTTTAAAAATAATCCGAAGAATGAAATAAAACTAGGACAAAACAAAAAAATGTTCACGAAAAACCAATCTTCGACAAAAAAAATGTATTATATAATATTTTCGTTGTAAATCAAAGATGAGAAGAT